AAGTATATATTAGAATACTTCATAGCTGTTCTATATATTATATATATGTATAAATTAATTAGAACTACGTTTTACTAATATTACTATAAAACACATTTGCAGCAGATCAGTGACAAGTAATAATAATTAAATTATAGTAATAAATAACGTTATTTAAAAATGTCCAACAAAGTCATTATTAAAATGGTAAAATATAAATAAATAAAGTTATTCGCTTAGATTATAATCTTAAATGTAGCTAAGTGTAGTTATATAGTTGAATGCATGGCAGACTCTTATTATTTGCGATTGGATAAATTGATAACAAGAATTTATATACACATAATACCACAAGAATATATGTGTCTCTTGATTTGAGATAAGCGTATGTTTACCTTGGTTTGTATACTGCAAATTTGAAATTGAATAATTTTGTCTATAACCATTTTTGCACACTCTGTACAATTCTGTGTTCTGGATTCAATGCTGTTTCTTATCACGGGGGGGACCTACAAAATTATTTCAATATATTATTACACACGCACAAATCTCGTAGAGTATTTAATTTTAAAATAAGAAATCATGTTGCATTAAATGTGAATTTTACATGCAGGGTGTTTCTGAGTTAAACGGCCAAACTTGAAACATAAATTTAGGATCTTAAAAATAAAAATTTTCCTGTGGAAGTATAATGCACGCTTTGTTCAAGAAATATTGAGTTCTGAAGTCACAGAATTAGGAATCAATAATTTCGAAATAATAAAGGTTTATCTTCTTTATTGCTAAACAGTCATCAAAATTAAAACAATTATTGTCTTTATTGCTTAATATTAACCAAAATTTAAGTATAAAATATTTTGTTCGAAATAATGGCTTGGAGACAAATAGCCTGGAGACAAACGTTGCACCTATCGGTAAAAAAACGAATTTTTTGTATGGGGTGCTTTCAAGCAAAAAAGTAAATAAAGTGCCTATTAATGATTTTCAAACATTAAAACAAAGGATAGTACAAGCGGAGAAATAAAGACGCACAAATGTCAGTCAGCCAATCGTTCTCTCACCGATAAGTGCAACGCTTGTTTTCGGGCTGGAAGCCATCATTTTAAACAAAATATTTAATACGTTAGTTTTGATTATTGTAAAGCACTAAAAAGCATAATTATTTTTATTTTGATTATTGTTCAACATTAAAAGGGATAAACCTACATTATATATTAAAATTATACATTTTTAATAGTTCTGTAATTTTAGAAGTTAATATCTCTTGAAAGAAACGTTTGCGAGGATATCTCCAGAGTAAAACTTTTATTTGTTTTAAGACCCTAAACTCATGTTTTAAGTTTGGCCGTTTTACCCGAGAACACAATGTATGTGTACATGCTATATGTGTTTGTAACTGTAATATATATAAGTTTACTTCATATAAGCAGTTTACTTCATATATAACATAAAATAAATATTGATGCTTGAATATATTTTTCTGTAAATGAGCCAATAATGAGTATAATACTTTTAAATTTATGTACTAACATATGTGTTGTAACAAAAATTCGTAGCGTTTTTTTAGTAAAATTCTAAGTTAATTATTACATTTGTATATAAATATTTATTCAACTACATATGCGACGTTTATTCTATTTGGCATCTTTGCGATCAATTCATTTTGTCCTTCCAAGATTTTATATATTTTTCATCGCCAACTGTTAAACAACGTTACGCCTTTTGTTATAACCCAATACAAACCTCATTTTTGTCAATTAATTTTGATTCCAAATACTTACATTAATGGTTAATAGTATTTCCTTTATATTTTTCACAAACGTCATTATCTGGAACATGTTATGACATTTATTATCAATAAATTATTTTTTAGTCTTATAATAATAAATTTAATATAATACTTATTAATAATTAATAAAGTAATTATTTAATAAAATAAATTTAATATAATAGCTACAGAGTTTACTTCTTATAGTTATTTTTTTTATACTATTGTTTATACAATTTTTTACACTCTGCATGATTAAATCAAAATACTTATAATGTATCAGATAAATTACAAATATAAAAGTTTACAAAAATAGAAAAATTATAAAAAAGGAATACAATAATTTGACTCCATAATATTTACCTTGTCAAGCTGTTTCCCAGAATACACGTTATTAATAATACCAATTAGTGCTGTGATTGTACTAATTTCTCTATAAAGACAAAATATATAATATATAGCTAGCATGTATAAGAAACTTTCATAATTATGAACAGAATACATGAATCAATGTTAATGTTTTTATAAAGAAAACTGTTTTATTACTTTGGTTTTGTTTCATCCCAATTGTTTAATATATAATCAAGTATAGTATTATTTCTTGCATGTCTCATGACAATATAATGAAAGAGATCAACATAGTTTTTACTGATCAAAAAATATCTGTTAGGATTTGATCTCATTACTATAAACGTGCGCAAGATAAAAATAGGTTTATTAGAGCAGGCCAAATATTTAAACATTTTAGTATCTTTTTCGTCTATAAATGTCTTCATATAGAACCAAAGAGTAACATCATCTGCAACTGCTAAACCATCACAATAAGTCCATTTTCTCCACCATGGTAAAAGTGTATTATTTCTAAAAAAAATTGATCATAAAAGTTTGACTATTCTTGTATACATTTGAATAAAACAGTTTATCAAGCGTGGAAACAATTAAAAAATATAGGTATAAAAGAACATTATGTGAAAAATTACTTGGAATCCTCTAGATGCCATTTCAATTTAGTGACGGCTTCTGTCTTGCACTCAAAATTACCTAGAACGCATTCCCATTTTACGGCTTCTTGCCTTAAACATTTAATAAAGTCATCGTCCTCAGACTTCTCCTTATATCCTATTTTATCAAGAAGTGGACGCAATTGATTCACTATAACTACCTAAGTATTGAAAAATGAATTAATACTTCTATCAATTAATATCTTAAGAAGTTATTAACAAAACAAAATTTTACCTTAAACGGTTGACCTTTGAAAAATGGAACGAGATATGATAAGTATTCTATAGCTTTAATCATGGGATACCATGCTATGTAATTTGTCTCCTGCGACAGATATTTCGAAAGCTCGCAGAATATGGAAAATTTTAGTTGCTTTGCTATCATAAGATGAAACGCGTCGTCTATGATTTGAGCTCGATTGAGAACATGAATTTTCTTATAGTTCTTAGAATTCAAGTAGCGTGCAATTTTTAGCCAATTCTCATTATTATAATTGACACGATAATATCCTATTATATAATAAAGAAATGCTATTTGTTATTAAATTATTTTGATATGAAATTCAATAGAAGAAATGTTCAAATACTCTTGGTATTTTCTATACATTAGATATATGTTTTATTTAAATTTACGAATATCTTAAAAGAAATACAAATTATAGATTACTGTATTAAATTATAGTTGTAATATTATTTTATTGTATCAAAAGGATGGAATAATATTAGTTTCAATGTTGCATTGTCTAACTTGAAAATTTACGTGACAACGGGATAATATTATTAATCATTATATACATGAAGATTATATCTAAAATTGTTTTTTATTATTGTATGTGTCTATTTTTTTGAAAGATTGCGTTGGTCTATTATAACCGGAATAGTTTTATTACAACGCATTTGAATATTTATTACAAATTATTTGTACCGACAAGATAATTTAATTTATATACGTGCATGTGCATTTTAATGAAAAATAACTGATTAATATTTACCTGTTTGTTGTATATTGAATATTACCCAAGTATCCTTTAAACTTAATTTTGGACTAATGATTGTATGAAAATTTTTTCCAAGATTAAGCCACTCAATGGTTGAGGTATAATTAAAATCGAGATATTTTTGCGTTGTTTTTGTCAACGGTATCATCCAATCCCCATCATTCGTGATTTCAATATATGACTCGTTTACTTGTACAGATAACATAGGAAAACTTTTTTGCTTTATCCAAGGATCCATTATTTTTTTTACATTAATTGTCGGCCATATTTCAGGCACTTGTTCTTCATAAGCAGTTTGCATGTCAGTCCAGAAATCATCCAGAGAAGCCGATCTAACAAAAGTTTATAAAATTTTATTTTAATAGTAAAGTGTGTATAGGTATGTGTTTGTATAAATACAAACATAAAATGGTCTATACACATGCGCGCGTTTGTGTATAAATATATGTAAGCTATTGCCTAATTTATACACATTGTTTACATCTGTATGCCAATTTTCTTATGCAAGTGACTTATAAATCTATTTTGTAAACTCCACAGGAGCAACAGAAATGACCATAAGAAGAGAAAGGTCAGTAGTTTTAATTAATAAAAAATATATAGCTATTAAAATAGTTATTAAATAAGTCTATAAACTGAATAAAAGAAAATAAACAATTAAAGAATTGATAAGATAAATTACTATAATGGTATTGATGAGATAAATGATAGACTCTAAATGTTAAGGAGAAATTTTAAAAAACATAAAATATTAAAGCACAAATAATAAAGAAAAAGAAAAAGAGAACAAGTAAATATATATATTTTTTATAATAAATGTGAATAAATGAAATAAAATGGGAACATATATATCAAACAATTGGAAGGTAACATAAAAATTGAGTAGAAGTTATGGATTTATGGAACAGAAAGTAATAAAAAAAAAGGGCAGAAAAATAAATATTAATTGAAAAAAATTATAAAGACAAAAAATTTTCCCTAACAGCATGGTCACCTGTAGGAGCGGACAGAGGAGAGGACAGTTGC